CCACAACTACTCAATATGAAAATACTTTCCCTCTTCCCCTGATGGCGTCCGGGTGATGGCCGCGCACCCTCCGCGTACTGTTTTTTTTACACGGGATCCCCGGGAAATCCCGGGAAACGACTCTCGCTGAGGCGCCGGCGTCATTTTTTCCCAAAATGCTGCTCTCGTTGAGGCGCCGGCCTCATTTCTGCTCCCGAATCGTTCCGAATCGTGCTCCCGCTGCAGCGTGGGCCTCATTTTCGGATCGGTGTTTGGCCTCCGTCGTTCAGGATGGCGTTCTCGCCCCAGCGCGGGCCTCTTTCTCGCGCGCCCATCCGCCCGCCACCACCGCCGCACCACCACCACCACCACCACCACCACCACCACCACCACCACCACCACCACCACCACCACCACCACCACCAGTACCAACACCACCACCACCAGCACCACCACCACCACCAGCACCACCACCACCACCATCACCACCACCACCACCACCACCACCACCACCACCACCACCACCACCACCACCACACAACCACGCACACACGCACGCACGCACGCACGCGCACCACCACCCACTACGCACGCGCGCGCGGAGCCACAGGTCCGCTACGACACGCGTCCGCGGATAGAGAAAATCAGCGCCATGGTAAGGGATGGGAGGGAGGGGTAGGACGTCAGATATGACGCGAGCGCACCTAGCTTGTCCCCCTCCCCCTCCCTCTCCTCCTCCTCCTCCTCCTCCTCCTCCTCCTCCTCCTCCTCCTCCTCCTCCTCCTCCGTCTCTTCCTCCTCCTCCTCCTCCTCCTCCTCCTCCTCCTCCTCCCCGTTCCCCTCGTTCTCCTCCTCCTCCTCCTCCTCCTCCTCCTCCTACTCCTCATGTTTCTCCCCCTCCTCCTCCCCCTCCTCCTCCTCCTCCTTCTCCTCCTCCTCCTTCTCCTCCTATTGGGGCCCCTCCTGCCCTCGCTCTTGCGTCCCTGTTGTCATGGCACCGGCCTTGCAAACGAGATCCAACACGGCGAATAATAGTGCGCACATAATTCCACGCGCGGCGCCCAAAGATCGAGCTAACCACAACCATGGCGAGCCCTCACTGCGCACGATTACCTTCGCGACCCCCAAGTGAAGAGGACGACGGCGATTAAGACGACGACGAACACGCGCCCACTCGATTGGAGATGCAACGAATTGTCTAGCAACCCTTGCACAACCAAGAGCATTATCCGATGGGAGGGCAACCACGCAACAATAGCCCCGATAGCCCACCCAACACGGCGACAACCCACCCAACAACAGCCAACATCCTCCCAACACTATCCACCCAACAATAGCGCCGATAGCCCAAACAGGAGCCTCGATAGCCCACCTAACCCTGCCCAGCACGCCGAACAGTGGTGCGCGACTCAGTCCGCGCGATGCAACCGCAGAGCAATCTCACCACAATGGGGAGAGCGAGGAGGGCGAGGAGGGGAGCGCGAGGAGGAGGGCGACGTGGGAAAGCGAGGAGGAGGAGGGCGAGGAGGGGAAGGACGAGGAGAGGGAGAGCGATGTGGAGTGCGAGGGGGGGGGAGCACGACGAGGAGGGCGGGGAGAGAGGGAGGAGGAGGGCGAGGAGGGGAGGGGGGCAAGGAGGTGTTGACGATTACTCCCAGCCGGGAGCTCAGGGGGGGGGCTTATTGAAGACCCCTTGCGGTTACTCACCAGCTGAGACCAGAGACCCCTCCTCCTCCTCCTCCTCCTCCTGTTTTTTCTCCTCCTCCTCCTGCTCCTCCTCCTTTTCCTCCTCGTTCGACCTCGTCCTGCCTCCTCCTCCTGCTCTTCCTCCTCTCACCCCGTCGACACTCGCACCCCTTGACATCCGACGACCTGATCTCTTCAGTGCGCGGCCCTCGAGGCCTCGACCCCATCCCTGGGTGGGGCAACTGCTCGCACTGGTCAAGTCTTGACTGCCCTGGGGTCTGACGACGGGCCACAGAGGCCCAAATCCAGGGAAAAACGCCCGGCGTGAAAACATCGTGACTCGCGGGAGATATGAGCAGACCGAGGCAGCTTTCGGCCCGCGCAGCTCGGCCTCGGGCGGCCGTTCGTCACGATCCAGGCGCCCCCAGAGCGCTCTCAGCGAGGCGCAGCTGCTGGAAGGCGCCCCAGGGGGCGCGACAACCTCCGAGTAGCAATGGCAAAACCCTCCGATTTCGTGTGATTCCACAAGTTGCGAGCATACCCGCATCCGAAACCTCGCGGTCTGGACTTCTGGGAGCGGTCCCGTGGACAGGCGGTGGCACGGACACAGTCCTCGCAGAAGAACCCCAACACACGCCCCGTACTCGCGGGGTCGCAGCCCGTGGGGCCTGGCCCGCGAGAGCGCGGACATGGAATGTTTTTCGCCCACGAGTTTTTGTATTCGCAGGGAAATCGCCTGAAGGTTCGCCCGCTTCGTCAGTGCCGACCCGAAAGCAAAGGAAGCGAGATACAGAATCAAGAGGCGGAGGAGGAGCGGAGGAGTGTCCTGGCAAGCGAAACCGCCGGGCACAATCGGCAAACGAAAACGGCAACATGTTTTTTGTTCGGCGGCGCGCCCGGTGGGGAAGTGAGAGGGGGCGGGCTTTCTCAGAAGGCTCGGGAGCCCCCCCGGTCCTATGAGAAGTTTCCTAAGCCTTCCCCGAAGGCACCGCCAATCTCTCCGAAGGCGCGAGGACTTCTGAGAAGCCCCGCCGCCTTCTGAGAAGGCCTTCTCCTTATCACTTCCCCACTTCCCCCCCTCGCTCGCCACCGAATATATATATATACACATACATACATACATACATACATACATACATACATACATACATACATACATACATACAAACATACATACATACATACATACATACATACATACATACATACATACATACATACATACATACATACATACATACATATATATAAACATATATATATATATGTAAAGCTCGGCTCCTGGATCCCTCCGGGGTCCATCCGACGCGGTTTTTCACCCCGGGTCGAGTTTCGGGGGTCCCAGGGCCCGAAAATGGCACCCACGGGCCGAACACTGCAAAGAAAAAACGCCTCGAATCTCGAACCTCGAACCCTCTCGCTCGCCGCCGAGTGGAGGGAGCGGAACGCGTCCTCCGTCGCTGTCCTTGTACCCGCGCCTGGCGTCCGCCGCGGGCTCCTCCTCGGCGACCGCCGGCGGGGGGGCGCAGGACCCGGGGGCGCACCTGGGCGCGGCGCGGCGCGGCCGCGTGCTGACGACTTGCTGCTGGCCGCCCGCTCGCCCGCTCCAACAACGAGGATCGAAGAGCAACACACTGCGCACACACACAGAATCGTTCGGCGCTCCGAACACTTACGTGTGTTTGTGCGCTTTTCGCGTGCTCGAGAGGAGGGTGCGAGATTACCAGCCGGCCGCTCTGCAGTCGATCGCGAGTTTCCTAGGTCACCCAACCTGCGCGATGCGCGGGAGTCGTCGCGCCCTTGAGAAGCCACCTTGGCGAAGGGCGCCTCTCTGCCACAAGTCGCGATGCGCGAATCGCGGTAACCTTCGCGATCCGAAAGGGTGACCTGGGCGTCTGTATATAGAGGAGGCTGCGGGAGTACAGTCTGGCCGCTCTGCGGTTGATCGGGAGTTTCTGTACGTACGGTAAAAAAGATACAATTCGTGGACACCGTCCCGCTCCCGAAAACACCAAGTTGCCACGCGCAGGGGAGACTGCGGTCGAACTGCAGCTCATCCGACCCACCGACAGATGAATGTTGCATGGGTGTTCGCAAATTTCTTCCGAGGCCTGTAGCACCACGCAGCTGCGCACAAGACTGAGGGGGCCGGCGCGGGATGGGTCGCGGGCGGGGTGGGTCGCAAGAAAAGGTCGCGGGCTGGCCGTGGGCGAGGACGACGACAAACACGGAACAACAACGACAAAGAACAACAAACAAGCATAAGCAGGGCCACGGGATCCCACGTCCGCCACGCACCCACGGGTTGTGTAAGACCGTTCGGTGCCCTCGCTCTACTATTGAAGATACAGTCGGGGCGTTGACCTAAGGAACCCTAAATAAGGAACGAGGACCCCTTTTTCAATAAGTTAAACTTCGATTTCCTTGTCGAAAACATGAGGAAAACCTGAGGCAAGCTGCGAAACACTTAAGGAACGCGGAGCCCCTCCCCAACCAAAAGGGTTCCTTCTTCTGGGCCCCGACTGTAGGGCGTGCGCCAAGTTTGACGGATTCGCTGGGAAACGGTGTCCGAAGGCACTTTGGGGCTCCTCCCCTGGGGCGGCGGGCGACGGCAGCAAAGGGGCAGCAATAGAGAGGAGGATTGAACAGCAGAGTATCAAGACGAAAAACCGAAGAAGCGAGCGACAGAGGAGGATGATACGCAACTTATGAGAAGTAGTGCGGCGAAGACGATGGTGGAGCGGGAAGGAAATCGAGATTGCGGCGCAAAGAGAGGGGGAGTGATGGAAGCTGACGGATGGAGGACAAGAAGACGACCCCTTCTCTCACACAGGGGGTCCGGGTTCTCTCTGGACTCTGCCACACAGCACCGTTCTCTCACAGAGGGGCAAGATGGTTCTACTATTGTGGCGATCGGATCATTTATACTGTGTTGTGTGTCGCCCACCGCTTTGTGATGGGCCTGTTTTCCACCAGAACCACCATAAGTTGGAGGGGGAAGGGGGAGGAGGAGGACGAAGAGGAGGAGGATGAAGAAGAGGAGGAAGATGAGGAGGAGGACCCCCTCCCCCTCCAACTTATGGTGGTGGTGGTGGAAAACAGGCCCATCACTTTGTGGCAAATAGCGGCCCCAAGTGCAACTTGATGTTTTTCGCCGACGCCGGTCGCCCACAGAACAGGCCAGAAAATGATACACTATACTTATGTTGCTACCATCGTCCTTTAAGGACCACATCCCAGAAGTAATTTCGAGCACCCGGAAAAGTGTCGAAACGGTGTCGAAACAGTGTCGAAACGGTGTCGAACGACTGTCTCCCAGGGCCCGACACGTGAATACCTTTCAATTTCGGTACTTTCCTGGTGCTCGAAATTCTTTCTGATAACACTGCACGTTGTCCTGTGGCGTTTCTGCGAAGCCACATGGCACAGGGCCCAGCTATCTCAGAGAACATACGCGCGGTTCACCAAATCCGTTCAAAGCGGCCTCTCGCTGGGTACATCTGGTGCAGTTTTCAAGCTGGATCTGTTTCTAACAATCCTGGGGCCTGAAAAAACTGGCCCTGGAGGCCCACAATTGCAAATGACCTTCTCGAGCCCATCACCTGAACGAAGGATTGAAAGCAAACCCTTTTTTGCAATCCATTTTTTGGGTTGTTTTTTTTGCAGTCTTTTTTTTGCAATCCTTCGAATCATCCTCATCCGGACTATCCGCCTGCCCCCAGGGCCTGATATGGGGGCCCAGAGAGCCGAAACCAATGCAAAGCATCAGGTCTCTGGACCTCTTTCCCTCAGGACCCCCGTTCCTTAAACGATGACGGGTGGAGAAGGAGGAAAAGGAGGCGCAGGAAGAGGATTGAGGACGAGGAGGACGACGAGGAAGAGGATGCTGCAGCCCACTGCCCCGCACGGGCAGGAAAAGTGGCGCCTGTTCGCGTACGGGGAGTCGTCCTGCCTGTTGGGGACTCCGTCCCCGTCGACATCGTCGGCCTTGAAACAAGACTTTTGCGTGCAGCCGGCGTCGTAGGGCGCCCCATCCTTCCGGGACAGCCGCGGGGCGAGCTCCCTCCAGCTCCGTCCCCCCTCGCCCTCCCTGGTTCCGCTGCTGCTGCTGCTGCTCCTATACCGCTGCTCCCCGCCCCTCTCCCCGCCCCTCTGGTGCATCCTGGCCAGAACTTCGGAGAGAGGAGAGCCGTGGCGACGAGAGTTCTCCAGGACGAGCAGTGGGATTGGCACCTCGTCCTCATCGGACCTACTCCTGCCACCACGCCAGAAACACGTCGGCTGCACATGACTTCGCGCTCGCAGGCGGGGGCCGTGGCGTGCGCGGGTGAGCCCGCCACCGCCTGGGCGGGCAAGTACTTGTCACCAGGCGGGGGAGGGCAACGACAAGAGGCGGGTCTCACGCGAGATGACATAAAGGCCTTACGCCGCGGCTTACGCAGGCCGCCGGCGCGGCACGCAACTTTGGCAACGAGGGCGCTTACGCGCGACCTCAGGCGGGCAGCTCAGGCGCCAGCGTGGCGCAGCAGACCCCGTTTCCTGGCGACGACCACTTGACGGCGCCACGGCGACGTGCGACGGCGACGGGTCCTCTCTGCCCAGCGCACCGTACAGCCGGACCTAGGACAGAAGAACATCCTTCAAGAATATGAGACCCTCCGCTGGCCACACCACACAGAACATCCAAGGGCACCCTGCCCAGGATGCACAGGATCACCCAACGAGCACGAAGAGCATCAGGGCGCCCTCCCCGAACCGACCTCGACCTTCCCGGACCTCTCCTGGGGCGCGCTCTGACCAGCATTTCGACGCGAATCCAGCGGCGGCGACGAGGGCCGCCCAGGAGGCCCAAAGAGGGGAGAACGGCGGCAGGGCAGAGCGGTCTGGGTACCTCTTCCTCCTCCGACTTCTACCTCGCGCCGGCTGCAGCCGTCGGCGCCCCCTGGCGACGGGGGCGACGGGCAGCTCGCGCGCCGGCGCCCGTGCAGACGGCCCAGCTGCTCTGCGGCGCTCCCGCGGCTCCCGCCGCCTCCCCGCGCAGGGTGGAGGCGGCCGCCCCGGACTGCGCCGACCCGGAGGCCCACGCGAGTCCTCTGGGCGCTGCTTTCGAAGACCGTCGCCCTGGCAGCGCTTGGCGCATGCGCTGCGCCTGCATGCTCGGCACGGACACCGCAGAGGGCGTGCGATCAACGGCAAACTCGTGCTCCTCCAAGTCCTCCACCTCCTCCTCCGACTCCTCCTCCTCCACATCCTCCTCCTCCTCCTCCTCCTCCTCCTCCTCCTCCTCCCTCTCCCCTCCTCGTCCCCCCTGCTCCTCCTTCTCCTCCTCCTCCTCCTCGTCCTCCTCCTCCTCCTCCTGCTCCTCCTCCTCCCCCTCCTCCCTCTCCCCTCCTCCTCCCTCCTCCCTCCTCCTCCTCCTCCTCCACCTCCTCCTCCTCCTCCTCCTCCTCGTGCTCCTCACCCCCCCTCCGCCTGATCCTCATGCCTCAGAAACGCGGATCATCCTTCCGGCGGCGCCCTCCGGACCATCTGCGCCGCGTGGATGGCAACGCCAGATCGTCCCGTTCAGCGCTTGTGTCGCACCCGCTGCACGGTCTGGCGACGCCACGTGACCGACGAAAAAACGACCTGGTTTCACACGAGATGGCACAGCGACCTTACGCGGTAGCCTACGCGGGCAGACGACGCGGTACGCTTCATTAGAAACGAGGGAATTTACGCGCGACCTTGCGCGGGAAGTGTACGCGCGAGTGTCGGCGAAATGGGACCCGTTTTTCCTCGTCGCTCACGTCAGTCGCGCCATCCTATGGCCTCATCCGTCTCCTCGTCCCCAGACCCCCTCGCGTCGTGACACAAAGCACGACGGACACTTCTCGGCGACTTCTGGACCCCAGGGGCCCTTCCAGGTGAAAGGCCAGTTCCCCGGGGATGGGTCCAGACCCCTGGGGGCCTAGGCTTTTGTTGTTGTTGTTGTTGCTGCTGCTGCTGCTGCTGCTGCTTTTTTTTTTGGGGGGGGGGGGGGCACATCACGGGACACCCGATGGAGGAACGCGCTCGACCTGATGCGCCCAAGACGCCGACAGGGCGTCTTCAGTTCGGAGAACATCCGCCGCCTTGCAAAACAATGGTTCGAATTCGCGTCGGAATGGGAAGGAGGTAGCTACGATTACTAGCCACAAACGCAGGAATACATGATTCTCATGGACAGCTCACGTTGCCAGCGTGCTGGCTGGCAAACGCGCCATTCCGCGACGGCGAAAAAGTCAGCCGTATCAGGAGCTCCAGTCGGAGCAGTCAGTACTGCTGCTGTTGTTATTTTTGGTGCCCTCTCCCAGACGGCGCTCCCGCTGATCCGGGGCGAAGCCCAGGTGGGTCTGTGGCCTGCGGCCCCCCAGCGCACGCGCAGAACCCTGCTAAGACAAGCGCGTTCCACTACTCGCAAAGTAACTACTCGCAAATGGCATGGATCAGCCGTGGGGGATTTACGATCCACTGCATCGAGGCAAGCACGTGCTTTTCGGACGCTTGCGAGTAGGCCCTTGGCTAGTAGTGGACGGCGCTCGGTGACTGCTGGCTGGCTGGCATGCCGAGCCCGCAGATCGCGACCAGGGGCGGGATCGACTCTGCTCGGCGGCGGGTGAAGTGGTGAAGTGAGCAGGAGAAGGCCCTCTCAGAAGACGGCGGGTTTTCTCAGAAGCCTTTCCGGCCTCCCGAAAGGCTTCCTTTGCCTCCGGGGAAGCCTCAGAAACAACCTTCAGGAGGCCGGGGATTCCCGAGCTCTGTTTTGCATTTTTCCTAGAATCCTGTGATGTTAGGTTCTCGTTTTGATGAAAAAGCCCCCGCGTACCTCCTCTCCTCCGGACTCCTCCTCCTCCTCCACCTCCTCCCTCCTTTCTGCGCTTCCCCCACCAAGTGCAACGCTTCGTGGCCCCATAGGGAACTCCACCGAAGGCCTTAGTGGCTGCTCTCGCAGGACACCACCGCACCCATGTCGGCACACCGCTCACACGTTTCGTGGCCCCATAGGGAGCTCCACCCAAGGCCCCAGTGGCTGCGCTCGCATGACACCACCGCACCAATTTCGGCACACCCCTCACATGTTTCGTGGCCCCACAAGGAGCCCGACCGAAGGCCCCAGTGGCTGCGCTCGCATGACACCACCGCACCCGTTTCAGCACACCACTCACACGCTTCGTGGCCCCATCGGACCACCGCACCCATTTCAGCACACCGCTCACACGGTTCGTGGCCCCATAGGGAGCTCCACCGAAGGCCACAGTGGTTGCGCTCGCGTGACACCACCGCACCCATTTCGGCACACCCCTCACACGCTTCGTGTCCCCATAGGGAGCTCCACCGAAGGCCCCAGTGGCTGCGCTCGCAGGACACCACCGCACCCGTTTCGGCACACCGCTCGCACGCTTCGTGGCCCCAGAAAGAACTCCACTGAAGGCCCCGGTGGCTGCGCTCGCATGACACCACCGCACCACCGCACCCAAGTCGGCACACCCATCACACGCTTCGTTGCCCCACAAGGAGCCACACCGAAGGCCCCAGTGGCTGTGCTCGCCTGACACCACCGCACCCGTTTCGGCACACCGCTCGCACGCTTCGTGGCACCACGAGGAGCTCCACCGAAGGCCCCAATGGCTGCGCTCGCATGACACCACCGTGCCCATCCTGGCACACCCCATCACACGTTTCGTGCCCCATAAGGAGCTCCACCGAAGACGATACCAACAATTGCGTTACTCAGAACTGCATGTGGTTGGGTCCTTCGCCATGATATTTTTGTTTGGGGGGGACTTCTGAGTCTTCTAGTAGAGGCCTCCTAGATGAGATCGGAGTAGATGGGGTCGGAGGATCGCGCCGCATCGGGGATTCATCGGCGACGAACCAGCGATGCACCGCCGACGTCGGCGATGCATCAGCGACGTCGACGTGAAGCAGAGCGGGCTGCACATCCAGCCACATCGGCGATGCATCGGCGATGCGGCGCGATCCTCCGACCCCATCTACTCCGACCCCATCTGGGAGGCCTAGATCCTCATCTCCTCCTCCTCCTCCTCCTTCTCCTCTTCCTCCTCCTCCTCCTCCACCACCACCACCTCCACCTCCTCCTCCTCCTTCCTCCTTCCTCCTCCTCCTCCTCCTCCTCCTCCTCCTCCTCCTCCTCCTCCTCCTCCTCCTCCCTCCTCCTCCTCCTCCCCCCCTCCTCCTCGGGGGAACCTCATCTAAGAGGCCTGGATCCCGAGAAGGCCCACCCCTTCGCCCTTCACCTCTGGGCCCGCCGCCGAGGCTCTGCGGCCGAGCCCACGGCAGCACGCGGCGCAGCGGGGCGCCGCCCGAGCAGGGCCCCGAACAAAACGGAGGCGCGGTGTGCGCCCCAGCCCGGCGCTCGCGCCGCGCCTGCCACCCTCAAAGGGCCCAGGGACGCCCCCCACTCCTCATCATCCTCCTCCTCCTTCTCCTCCTCCGCCTCCTACCCCCCCCCGCTCGTTTTCATCTTCGTCGTCTTCAGGGTCGGCGGCACCGGCCGTTAGGCCTTCGCAATCCTCCCCTCAAAGAGCCCAGGGACGCCCCAAGAAATAGGCACGAATCCAAGGACCTCCCATCGATCCCTCTGTTTTCTGGATGGATGTTCGTCTTTCTATCCCCCCGCCCCCCCCCACTTCCCTCAGTTGCCATCCTTGTCCAGAGAATCGACAGTTAATTATGTCTGTGCGCTCTTCCCCCTCCTGACAGATCCTCCTCCCCCGCCCACCTCCCAGATCTAACCAGGCCGCAGCGCATCCCTATCCCCTATACTGACAAGCCTCAAAGCGATGAACATTTTAGGGGTGCGCTCTCAGAAACTGAGGGGAACATTCAGATCGGCATCGAAACAAGGCGATGGCAACCAAAGGGGCAGGGATGTGTTTCAGCCTGATAGAAATCATCCTTCCCCGCCCAACCTCCCAGCGATCGAGGAAGAGACACGAGACAGACACATGGTAACTCTGGGGGTCCATGCGCCTTTCTCGGATCGGCGCTGGAGGCGCCGCCAGGGGGCCCCAACGACACTCCGAGGAGTCCGCGCAGACTTCCGCATTGTCATGTTTACGTAATTGCTTGTTCTCCCAAATTTAGGTCGGGCCTGTCCCCCTAAAGGCGAATTCTGGACGAACAATGAACATAGCCAAACAATACAAGGCAATTCTCAAAAGTACTCAAAATAGTCCCCCGATTTTTTGACAATTTCTGAATCCCCCCTGTAGAGGGACAAGCCCGACCTGACCCTAAGTGGAAATCCTCCCTGGCAAGCCTCAGACGCACCCGCTCTCCCTGCGTCGTGAGGGAGCGTCAAGCGATTGGGCTAGTCCACCTCCTCCACGGTGGGCCCTGCGCCGCCGCCGGCGGCGTTCCCGCCGCCGCCTGGCATGCCACCGTCTGGCATCTCGCCGCCGCCGGCGGCCTGGTACACCTTCATCATGATGGGGTTGACGATGCCCTCCAGCTCCTTTTGCTTACCCTCGAACTCATCCTTCTCGGCCAGCTGGTTTTTGTCCAGCCAGTCGAGGGCATCCTGCACCGCCTTCTCGATCTTCTCCTTGTCTCCATCCTCGAACTTCTCCTTGAGCTTCTCCTCCTGCAGGGTGTTGCGCATGGTGAAGCAATAGTTCTCGAGTCCGTTCTTCGCTTCGATCTTTTGCTTGGTCGTCTCGTCCTCAGCGCGATACTTTTCTGCCTCCTGCACCATCCTGTCGATCTCCGCCTGGGACAGCCGCCCCTTCTCGTTGGTGATGGTTATCTGATTCGACTTGCCAGTTGACTTGTCCTGTGCGCCCACGTTCAAGATGCCGTTAGCGTCGATGTCGAACGTCACCTCGATCTGCGGCACGCCGCGCGGGGCGGGCGGGATGCCATCGAGGTGGAACTTGCCCAACAAGTTGTTGTCCTTGGTCATCGCGCGCTCACCCTCGAACACCTGGATGAGCACTCCTGGCTGATTATCGGCATAGGTGGTGAACGTTTGGCCCTTCTTGGTTGGGATCGTGGTGTTCCGCTCGATGAGCTTGGTCATCACCCCGCCGGCGGTTTCCAGGCCCATCGAAAGTGGTGTCACGTCGAGCAGCAATAGATCCTGAACCTGCGAGGAGCCTTCGCCAGTGAGGATGGCGGCCTGCACTGCCGCGCCGAAGGCCACGGCCTCATCCGGGTTGATGGACCTGTTGGGTTCTTTGCCGTTGAAGAACTCCTGGATCATGGCCTGCACCTTCGGGATGCGCGTGGAACCACCCACCAGAACGACCTCGTGCACATTCTTCTTATCGATGCCGCTGTCGCGCAAGCATTTCTCAACGGGGCCCATGGAATTTCGGAAGTAATCCATGTTGAGCTCCTCGAATCGGGCGCGCGACAGCGAGCAGGAGAAATCGATTCCCTCGAAGAGCGAGTCAATCTCGATCGTGGCCTGCGTGGAGGAGGAGAGGGTCCTCTTGGCGCGCTCGCACTGCGTCCGCAGGCGGCGGATGGCACGCTGGTTGCCGTCGAGGGCCTTGCCCCTGTTCTTGCGTTTGAAGTCCTGCATGCAGAAGTCCACGATACGGTTGTCGAAGTCCTCGCCCCCCAGGTGTGTGTCCCCGGCGGTGGCCTTCACCTCGAAGATGCCGTCCTCGATTGTCAGCAGGGAGACGTCGAAGGTGCCCCCACCCATGTCGTAAATCAAGATGTTCTTCTCGCCGCTGCCCTTCTTGTCGAGGCCGTACGCGATCGCCGCCGCGGTGGGCTCGTTGATAATTCGAAGGACGTTCATGCCCGAGATCGTCCCGGCATCCTTGGTAGCCTGGCGCTGCGAGTCGTTGAAATAAGCCGGGACGGTCACGACAGCATCGTTGCACTTGGACCCCAAGTAGGCCTCGGCGGTCTCTTTCATCTTGAGCAGGATCATCGAGGATACCTCCTCTGGGTGAAACTTCTTCTCCTCGCCCTGTGCAGTCACAACAATCATCGGCTTGTCGCCCGTCCCTGCCTCGACCTTGAAAGGCCACAACTTGATGTCTGCCTGCACGATCGGGTCCGCGAACTTGCGACCGATCAACCGCTTCGCATCGAAGACCGTGTTCTCTGGGTTGCGGGCCACCTGGTTCTTGGCCGCGTCCCCGATCAGGCGCTCGCTGTCTGTGAAGGCGACGTAGGACGGCGTCGTGCGATTGCCTTGATCGTTGGCGATGATCTCGACGCCGTCGTTCTTCCACACCCCGACGCAGGAGTAGGTGGTACCCAGATCGATGCCAACAGCGGTCTTCTTCGACATGTGTGCCGCGTGCCACTGCCGCAAGGGCAGGAGATTGCTTAGCAAGACTATTGGACCTGGAGTTGGCCTCGGACCCAGATTGCTTGAGCCAGAATGGCGAAGGACCTCGGGCGCTCCCCGCTGTGACAAATCATGACGGCGGGAGCCTGGGTAATCCCCCCCCTCTTGTGAGCGTTTTCTTATTCGGCGTTTCGACATTGGGCGGAAGGGGGGGAGAGGGGGGGGGGAAGGGGGGAGTCTGGCTTCGGACCTCTGCGCAGCGCGACTGTCTGCAACAGTGCGTCCCATGGGGGAGGCCCTACCTGCTCGCAACAGGCGCCAGAAACAGCCAAGATCCACTCCATGGGGGAAGGGGGTGCCATCCTCCTCCGCCTCCTCCTCCGCCTCCGCCTCCGCCTCCGCCTCCTCCTCCTCCTCCTCCGCCTCCTCCTCCTCCTCCTCCTCCTCCTCCTCGGCCCGCGCCGAGTGGCAAACCAATGGCCTTGGATGACCGAGACCTCCGACCAGGTCTGCCCCGTGGGCGGCCCCCGAGGCCCCGACCTCTTCTCCTGGGGGTTACTTCGCTTTCGCTCCGGATCAGCTCTTGATGTCCCTGGGGCCCGGTGGCGGGCCCAAGAGGCCGATTCTTATATATATATGTGTGTATATATATGTATATATGTGTATAGTTATTTATTTATTTATTTATTTATTTGTTTATTTTTTATATATATATATATATATATATATGTATCTATTCCTCTTCCTATAGTTTTATAAGCCCGGGCGGGGGAAATCCCTCCCTCCCCCCCCCAAAAAAAAACGGACTCCGGGGATCTGGGGCTTTGGGACGCTCCGGACGGGCCTCGAAGCGCCCCCCCGGGCCTCGCAGGGCGTTCTGCCATGCCTTCCCAGCACACCTAGGGCGATCAGGGGGGTCATCGGAGACGTCCCAGAGACCCCCAAGGCAGCACAAGAGCGCTCCAAGAGTGACCGACGTGACCTCAAGATGGCCCAAGAGGCCTCCAGGACGGCCCCAAAGAGGCCTCCAAGAGCACCCCCAAGAAGGCCCCAAGAGGCACAAATCATTGATTTTCTATTGGTGTTCGGTGAATTTTCGGGTTCTCCTCTTTTCGGCTTCCCGACGCTCCAAGACAGCGGCCTTCTGGGCGTCCGAAGCTGCCTGGGAGGCTCCAAAATCGCCCACAACCATCTGAAAGGGCTTCCAGGCAGTCCAAGAAAGCCCCAAAACGGCACAACACGGGTCCAAGATGGCCCTCAGAGAGCCCCATGGCTGCCCAAGATGGCCCCAAGGCACCCTCCGAAGCATTCCAAATCGTGACCCGGTCGTTCGGGAAGACCGCGGTTGGAGGCAGGGTGGCCCGAGGAAGCCTTCAGAGGCCCCCAGAATACGCCCAGGAGGCCTCCAGAATGCCTTAAGAAAACCCGAAACAACTTTTGTAAGGCCCGCAGAGGCTCTCCAAGGAGGAGTCTCCGCAAAAAAGGGCTGAGGAATATGGGGAGAATGCGCAGGGTATGGCGAACAATACAGAACAAAACCAGAGGAAGGATAACGAATCACATTACTATAGCGACGATGCCGGAAAACGGCAACAAGGAGCTACCGCTAAATTGTCGGCTTGACCTTCCTGCTATTCCGCCTGCACGCCACACTTCAAGGACCAAGGTGCACGGCGCGAAGCGCCACTGCAGTCTTATACATATGTATACATATGTATATATATATATATGTATATATATGTATATATATACATATACATATCGATCGATCGATCTATATATTGTAGTGGCCTCCGGCCAGTGCCGCCGATCTCGGGCGCTCCGCAAGATGATGATCATAATGATGCTGCAGGGGAGAGGGCCAGGGGAGGGGGTGTGCTCTGCAGGGGGAGTCCGCTCGGCAGAGTGAGGGACTGCAGGGGAGAGGGGTGGTCCGCTCTGAAGGAGGGGGGGCTGCAGGAGAGGAAGTCTGCTCTGCAGGGGGGGGGGGGCAGGGAAGGGGGAGCGCCCGCTCTGCAGGGGGGGGGGGGGGGCTGCACGGAGCCGGGTCCGCTCTGCAGCGAATGAGGCTGCAGGGAGGGGGGGGTCCGCTCTGCAGGGGGGGTCTCTGGGAGGAGCAGGCGAGAGGGGGGGGAGCAGGGGGAGGGCGCTCTGCGGGGGGGCTGCTCCGCTCTGGGGGGAGTGGGGCGGGGGGGCGGGGGCGGGTCCGCTCTGCAGGGGGGGGGGGTGGGGAGGGGGAGCGCCCGGCTCCGCTCTGCAGGGGGGTGGGGGGGCTGCAGGGAGGGGGGGGGTCGGTCCGCTCTGCAGGGGAGGGGGTCCGCTCTGGGAGGAGGGGGGGCTGCAGGAGGGCGGGTCTGCTCTGCAGAGGGGGGGGGAGCAGGGGAGGAGGGGGGGATCCGCTCTGCAGCAGGGGGGGGGGGGGGGGGGGGGGGAGGCTGCAGGGAGGAGGTCCGCTCTGCAGGGGGGGGGGTGCTCTGCAGAGGGGGGGGGGGGAGGGGGGGGTCGCTCTGCAGTGGGGCGGGGGGGCTACAGGGGCGAGGTCCGCTCTGCAGGGGGGGGGGTCGCTGGGCTGCAGGAAGCGAGAGGGGGCGTTCTGCAGGGGATGGGGGGTTCCGCTCTGGGAGGGGGGGGGGCGAAGCACTGAATTAGGTTGGGATTAAGTCGGAAATGATGCCCCCCCCGCAGAGCGAGGCTTGAGCGAGCTCAAGCCCACGCTCTCAGAAACTCACACGCCGGATCGGCGGATATGTATATATTAAAAAGCCATACATATGAACAGACATGTATGTATATATATATATATGTATATGTATATGTACATGTGTATATATATATATATATATTAAATGAGAAACGCCACGACGGACAGATCGGCTTGTCGGAGATGGGGGGAGCAGCAGGCGGGGCGAGGCGGGGAAGGGGGGCAGAGCCGCGGGGGATCTTCGGGAGCAAGAATCAAGTCGGGTTTGTCCCTCTACAGGGGGGAAATTCCAAAATAGTCAAAAAATAGTCGGGGGACGATTTTAAAATTAATGTTTGACCATTTGGGGGCATTTTTGGATTATGTTCTATTTTTCGCCCAAAATTCTCTGTAGGGGGGCAGGCCCGACCTAAAGCAAGAAGCGAGACACGCACACACAACATGTCGGCGGTCCGCACGGATCTCTCGTCTCGGCGGCTCTGGCCCCCCCCCCCCCCTGGCGCGCGCGGCGCGCGCCAGGGGCAGCGCCGGGGGCGCCTCCCGGGGGAGCCCAGGATGCTTGCACCGAGGGTCTCCGACTGGGTGGGCGGAGGGAAGTGGACGGGTGTGCTGGCTTTTCGCCACGCTGCGAGCTCGTGCCGCCTCCTGGGCGCCTCGTGGGCGCCCCGCGCTTGGCGGGGTTGCCGCATTTTCGCCACGCTTCCGCCCGCGACGCCCCGTGGGCGCCCAGTACCTTACACCGCATATCTTGCACCGCGTGGCTAACACCCTATAGCTTACAGCGCACTGCTTACGCTGCACAACTTGCACCGCACAGCTTAAACGGCATAGCTTACACCACATAGCTTGCACCGCAAAGCTTGAATCGCATAGCATTCACCTCATACCACCTTACGCGGCGTAGCTTGTCGCGCACATCTGGCACCACCATAACTCGCACGGCATAGCTTAGACGACATAGCGTTCACATCCAGACTGCAATAATTCACTGCTTGGGGACCACGCTGGCTAACACGTGTATGCAATCTTCTCTTCCCCGTCTTCCCGCGACCGCAGAACATGCGAGTGCCTCGCGGCGACTTGCGTGCCAGGGCAACCTGATCTTAAAGAGCAGTGGCAACAATGCTGGATTTACTACCTACAAGACCACTCCACCCCAACCCGAAGACCCGAATTTCGGGTTTGGGTGGGTACGGCCTTCATTCGTGTCTTTCAATGTTCCCCGACCCCCAACCACCGATGAGAATGGAAGGCATATTGGGGCCTTCGGGTTGGGTTGGGGCGGGGTGATTTGGTCGGTGGTGCCGGGTCGGATCCAAAGTTGTTCAAGACGGGAGGGCCTGGCGGAGCGCTCCCGAGCGGCGCGCCTGGCAGACTGGCGTCGCAGCGAGAGCGAGGCCGCAGGGGGAGGCCTCGACACTACTTGACCTTAGCAGCACCCGCGCCGATACCAGCAAGGGGGGGTCAGAGGCCGCAGGGACAGAAAGGGGAGCCCGGCGGCCACGTCCTCGGTGTCCGCGATGCCGTCGCCGTCGCTGTCGACGCAGGATTCGCTCCAACAATCGGGGCTCTCCGGCGCCGGGTCCTCGTAGTCCGGGACGCCGTCGCCGTCGCTGTCGAAGTTGCGCGACTCGAGGGGGGACAGGGGAGGACGGGGACCTTCCGATCCGGGCGTCGCAGCAAACAATCGCGATGGCAATTGTTCGTCGCGTTCGGCCTCTGGATAAAAGCCTCCTCCTCCTCCTCCTCCCTCCTCTCTCCTCCTCCTCCCTCCTCCTTCTCCTCCTCCTCCTCCTCCTCCTCCTCCTCCTCCTCCTCCTCCTCCTCCCTCCTCCTCCTCCCTCCTCCCTCCTCCCTCCTCCCTCCTCCTCCCTCCTCCTCCCTCCTCCTCCCTCCTCCTCCTCCTCCTCCTCCTCCTCCTCCTTGTTCGTCGCGTTCGGCCCCAGGGCCGTCAAAAAAAAACAGCGGCTCGGGGTGAAGAGTCGGCCCTGGGAAACTGGTAGGGATCCCCGGGGGGCCGGCGTCGCGGACGAGAATGCAACGTCGGAGGGGCGGGGAGAGGGCCCGCCAGTCGGGAGGCGCAGGCGGGAGCACAGAGCAGGAAGGCGGATCGAGCGGATCGGGTTTGGGCCCGCCCAGAGAACACCAAACGACAACAAGCGCATCTCGACTCTTGAAGTGGGAAGGCGCTTGACGTAGAGTGGGATCTGCATATCCGGAAGTATCTACTGTCAACGAACGGCGAGTACAGAGAAACTTGAACAAATGCGCGTTGGAAGTTCTCAGTGGGAGCGGAAGCTGCCGTGGCTTGGAAAGCATTTCAGGGGGCCGAGACGAGCCTCAGACGGCTGGGATGAGGTCGCAGGGGCTGGAACAGCTTGAAGAGAGGGGCCAGGGCTGAAAAGTACGGTGAGGGCATTGGAGAACGATCCATTGGATAAGGAAGCCAGGGTCTGGAAGCCGGTGGAAGTCGGCTTGGCTATGGATATCAATGCCACCCTCATCAGATAAGGACTACTCCAGGGTCTGATGCCTAGTGGCACATTCTTTAACGAACGCGCCCACCTCATGGGTGGACGCCAAATGTACACCTACTGGTGTCGACGGGCGGGGTGCTTAGGGGAATGAGGGGGGTTTATCAGTGGATGGCAAGGTGGTTATACATTACCTAGCCAAGGTATGCCTAGGTTATAGGTGGTTTGCCAATGTCCCAACTAGCTTCGGGGGGTTCGCGATCCGGGCGGAGTGAGCTCCGCCCACTTCGCGACATTATCTGATCCGCCTGAGCCACTTAGGGCGTTTGTAAGCCATACTAACAAGGTTAGGCCAAATCTAACTCACCTTGGCATCCATTGATCACCGCCCTATTCCCATAACACCCCGCGCGCCGATCCAAGAAAATTCCTAACTCTTTCCCTGGGAGTAAGTTTTCGCGCCAGAACCACGAAATCGATGGAAATCTTGAAGACCCGAAAAAGACATACTCCGCGCATGCTGGGATAATAATAATAATAATATTAATAATCGTACGAATACTACTACTACTACTACTACTACTACTACTACTACTACTACTACTACTACTACTACTACTACTACTACTACTACTACTACTACTACTACTACTACTACTACTACGACTACGACTACTACTACTACTACTACTACTACTACTACTACTACTACGACTACGACTACGACTACGACTACGACTACGACTACGACTACGACTACGACTACGACTACGACTACGACTACGACTACGACTACGACTACGACTACTACTACTACTACTACTACTACTACTACTACTACTACTACTACTAATAATAATACTAATAATACTAATAATAATAATCATACACATAATAATAATAATGCTATTAATAATAATAATGATAACCATAATAGACACACAAACACAAGCATTGGAGGTCCGCACGAAATCCTTGGACTTGTGCTGGGCGCCCCTCCAGGGGCGGCGCCGGAGGCGCCGCCAAGGGGGGGCCAGTGCCGATTCAAGAAATCCGAGCGGAGCTTCCAAAATCTATGTGTATGTAGTCATTCTTATGATTGGTATTCCTCTTGTTTTTCTTCTCCTTCTTCTGCCTCTGCTTCTGCTTCGATATGCAATCGTCGCGCGACTCAAAAACAAGTTCCCCGACACGGGTCCGAGGCACGGCCCGCAACCCCGAGCCCCTCTGGAGCCCGAGGTGGCCCTCATGTCAGCGCCGTGGCCTCCTCCTCCTCCACTGCCTCCTCCGCCTCCTCCTCCTCCTCTTCCTCCCCCTCCTCCCCCTCCTCCCCGTTCCTTTCCCCCTCCCCCTCCTCCTCCTCCTCCTCCTCCTCCTCCTCCTCCTTTGGAGCCCGAGGTGGCCCTCATTCCCTCCGGGCTTGGTCGGCGGCGGGGGTCCGCGGGGCGCACAAGGGGGTCAGGGTGAGGAGGGAAGGCCTCTCAGGAGGAGGCTGCCCCTCAGAGGGCACCGGCCCTGCGTCTCCTGGCAAGGCCCGTGCCCTCCGAGCAGCAGCCTCCTGCTCAGAGGCCTTCCCTCCTCCCCAGTTACATCCCTCTGCGTGTGGCCGATGAGCGTAGGAGAACAAAAAACAGCATACACAGAAACTTTTGGCGCTCCGAGCGGATTTCTTGGATCTGGCCTGGACCCCCTCGCTGGCGCGCGGAGCGCGTCAGGGGCGGCGCCAAAGGCGCCGAAGGGGGGGCAGCCCAGGAGCGGATCCAAGAAATCCGCGCGGAGCGCCAAAAGTTTATGTTTGTGCCGATTTCCAAATTCTTCGAAGACGCGGCCCGCGCCTTCTGAGCAGCAGCCTCCTCCTCGGAGGCCTTCCCCCTCCCCCCCCTGCACCCCTCTGCGTGTGGCCGATCGATTGTGCAGTCACCCCGCATAGTGAGGATAGGCAGCCTTCCCAAGGCTACCCTTCACAGGGTACCCTTGCAAGGGTACCCTTGCACGGGCACCCTGTGATTGATTGATTGTAGGCAACCTCCCCAAGGGTACCCGTGCGTCCTCGCCTCCTCGGTCCATCCTTGGCCACGTTCGGTGGCCGCGCCCCGCTCGAGAAGCTTGGAGATGGGCGTCCGAGGCCCTCGCGCCCTGCTCGCGCAGCCGTGCTGTGCAGGTGGGCGGTACACCCCTCTGCGCGTGGCCGATTGACTGCATGCCCTCTGGGCCCGGTCTTAAGTCGGGCGTGTCCCCCTACAGACGAGCAAAACAAACACTCAAATAGATAATCCACAAAACAGCCAAAACATCATGGAACAATCGTCCCCAGACTTTTTCTTGGCTAGTTTGGGATGTTCCCTCTGTAGAGGGACGCGCCCGGCTGAACTATACACCCCCCTGCGCGTGGCCGATGGACCGCATGCCCCCTGGGCTTGGCTGCCCCGATGCGCCAGACGCAACACGCAGCGCATGGATACGGAGCTCCATGCGTATCCTGAAAACGTATCTGCTGCGAGACGTCCGCCAACACGTGGGCCAATACGTTGAGCCAACACGCAACGTATTGACACGGACGCTTTGAGCACGGTACGTGTTCCAGGTCGGGCGAAAGAGGGGGATAGCAAAAGGGGTGTTTGAGAATCAGCTCGCGTAGCTGATCTTCCCGGCGCCTCCCGGCGCCGGAGGCGACTGTGTATCGAGGAAGGGGCCCCTCGGAGGGGCCGAAACCAGCTGCATGCAGCAGATTTCGCAACCCCCCCTTGCCCAATCCCCCCCTTTCGTCCGGCCCGAGTGTTCCGCATCAGCACGAGCGCTGGCCATCGCTAGGACGTCCATTCCCTGTGCTTTTTTCTTCGGTTTCGTGCGTGGTTTTGTCGCCAAACGATCAAGGATGCTCCTCGATGGTCCTCGCCGATGGAAAAATGCACACGTCCCAGCGATGCCTCCCCTGAGCACGGGAGGAGGAGGAGGAAGAGGAGGGAGGAGGAGGAGGAGGAGAGGAGGGAGGAGGAGGAGGAGGAGGAGGAGGAGAGGAGGAGGAGGAGGAGGAGGAGGAGGAGGAGGGGGGAGAAGGAGAAGGGGGAGGAGGGAGGAGGAGGAGGAAGGAGGGAGGAGGAGGAGGGGAGGGGGAGGAGGAGGAGGAAGAGGGCTTGGGCTTGGGCCGGCGGCGGCGGGCCGTCGTCCGGCCTGGGCGCAGGACGCCTCCTGGCAGTGCGCGTCTCGCGGGGCGGGGTCCTCGCGGGGCGCGCTCGCGGGAGAGGCCGCCGCGCGCGCGCGAGCGGGAGGAGAGGGGGCGGCCGACGAGGGCTCCGCCTCGCCCTCCTCGCTCTCGCTAAGAGGCAAACATAGGGGCGCCCAGGGACACGCAAAAAGAAGATCGCACAACAATCCCAGGATGCCCGAGAGTTTCCCAGATTTTCTGGATTCTCGTCTTCCCCCCCCACTTCCTATATTTTCCCATATTTTCCGGGGGATCGACGATCAACTGTGTCTGTGTGTTTTTCCCCTCCTAAAAAAAGCGGCATAAACATGAACTTGTGGAGCTCATCGCGGACTTCTTGGAGCTGCGCTGGACCCCCCTCGGGGGGGGCGCCGGAGGCGCCACGGGAGGCACCCAGGCGCCGATCCAAGAAATCCGCGCGGATTGCTAAAGGTTTATGCTTATGGCGTTTTTTCTCTTCTTCGATCGCTCTCGCTCGACAGTTACATATTCGGAATGCAGCCGAGTTTGATAGGAGAGGACACGCAAGGGGACACCAGACCCTTCCGATCAGGAAACAACTGCTGGGAGGTCTTCGTCGGAATGATGACGGAGGATTAAGCCCCATTTGGGGGGCTGGTACGCCGGATTCGGTCGCGGATTGGACAGGACTAAGCGGGATTGAGCGGCATGGCGCCAGATTTCGGACCCGAGGAAAGCCAGAATTGGACCTCCCAGAAGTTGCATCCGAACCTTCCGAGAGCCACATCGCCATAGGAATGTAGAAAGCATGGGTCGCGAATGCACAGGATACAAAGGTACACTCAGTTTGGCAGGGTCGACCTACTAATCAACCTCGACTGTACAGTACGGGCGCGGCCATCAGAACCACCTGCAACAAACCCAGCCTTGAAACCCGCGCGCGAGGTGCGACCTGGGGGAAGCCCAGGGCACTCTGGACGCAGCAAGTTCTGTAACAGATGCGGAAGGTCACCGCACAGCGAGCGAAGCGATGAAGCCCAGGGCACCCTGACGAAAAACACATGTTTGTTGTTGATGCGCGGCCCCACTGTACTACTCTCCTCCTTCCCGGAGCTTGTCTGCAAGATAGCCAGCCATCTCTGCGCACTGTTTTTACACACGAGACTTCAAAGGTTGTTCTTGTTTGTATGGTTTGCTCCCGCTGCAGCGTGGGCCGCATCTTCGGATCGGCACTATGCTCCCGTCGTTCAGAATGGCGCTCTCGCCCTCAGCACAGGTCACTTTTCTAGATCCGAGACTTTTTTCATCGTTGTCGCTCCCCTCATTTCGTTTCCCCTCATCCGCCTTCCCCTGGACCTCATGCTTCTACCGCTCTTTCCGCTCCAGCCCCTGCTGCTGTTTTTCATTGTCGCCCTCCTCCTTTCTCACTTCTCTCCTTTTCCTCCTACTCGTTCTCCTGCTCATCCGCAACCTCCTGCTCCAATGTACGCAGCTCCCCATTTTGGATTGCGCAGATTGCGCATAACACGACGGGGTCCTCTTTAGAGTTCCAGGTCCACTATGACACGCGTCGGCAGATAGAGAAACAACAACGCAATGGGACAGGATGAGTGGGAAGCGTAGGCTTGTCAGATATGGCGCGAGCGCACCAAGCTTGCCTCCCCCCCTCTATTCTCTGCCCTCCCTCCCTCCCGCCTTCCCTCCCTCCCTCCTCCTGCTCCTACCATCCTCCCTTCCTCCCATCTAAAATCCTGACCCATCTCCTCCTCCACCACCACCACCCGCTAAAGTAAAGGCTGTCGGCCCAGCTCCAGAAGGCATGCTGAAAGGGCTACCGAGCAAAGACAGAAATGCAGCGGAGCACGCTGCACTGGCAACGCAGAGTATGACAATGCGCGCCAGAGCTCGAGGCAGCACGTCCTACGGATGGATGCACGCCGCCAGGAAGGACACCGACCCTGGCCAACAATGTCGATAATCCTGGGCGCAGGACTTGCCCCGGAATGGGGGGGCGCATGCGCCGATCCTGGGCCGATGATTGGCTTGGCCAGGATCAACGCAGGATTATACTTGGCGTCCCCCTCCTCCTCCTCCTCCTCCTCCTCCTCCTCCTCCTCCTCCTCCTCCTCGCTCCTCCTCGCTCCTCCTCCTCCTCCTACTCCTCCTCCTCCGATCTGGATGCCGACCTCCAAAAGGCACGGCCCCATGACGATCACGAGACACTTCCTTCGGCAACGGACCACACGGAAGAAACCTCGCCGGGGCAAGGCCCCCCGCCAAGAGTGCCACTTGCCCGGCACGCGCATGCGAAGGAGTGCTCACGTCTCCGTGATCGTCTGCCCCCAATCCACCGACCACGCCTGCCACGGGTGAAAATCAGGAACGCGCAAACATGGATTAGCGATCCATGGATTTGGCGCGCGGTCGCCAAATCCATGGATCGGGGGAGGTGCCCTCCCCAAAATGCGGCCGGTGCTGCCTCTTCTGGCGGCGGGAATCAGCGATTTCAGATGGAAACGGAACCCGTCGCTGATCCGCGCCCCCTGAATCCATGTTTGCGATCGCCTGAGAAAAGGCGTGTGATACGTTTGACTGTCTCCCTCCCCCTCCTCCTCTCCTGGAAATGCATGCATCGGGCGCTCGATGCCTCCAGATCTGCTCTCAGTAACCGCCTGGATTCCCCGAGTGCAGTGCTTTCTAAGATAGCTTCGGAGGGGGTGCAACACGCTAGAGAGGCATCAATGACACTCAAGATGGCCTCAAGACGCCTTCAAGACCCCTCAATGGCGCCCTAAAGATGATCTCCAAGAGACCCTTTGACAGAAACGCGATCCGATGGTTTTGTTCCCCACATGCTAGGTGGGGTTCCGAGCTTCTATCCAACAACCTCTCACCCGCGGTCCTCCCCTCGTCCTTCTCATCCCTCTCCGTCTGGCTCGCAAACGCACCAAACTTAGGCGATACGCTCGCGCGTCCGAGCAACCCGGGCTACCAAACGCACCAAACGTGCGTACAAACATGTGCCTTCTTAGCGCTCACATGCATCAAGCAATCATACTTACATGCATGATGCAGCCGCACACCTGTATCGTCCACACCAAACGCATGCAACGCATACGCGGCCGCCCACATGATACACGCGTCCACATCTAGTCTCACCAACCGGCCATTCTCCTGCATCGATGGGAGGCGGGGGTAGGGTTCGGATTTCGCCACGAGTTCGACGAATTTTGAAGCCTGCCCCCGCCGTCCAGCGACTTGCCCGGACCGTGAGTCGGCGAGGGCAGGGTTCTGCTGTCGCGGCATACTGCTGGACTCTGGTCGTTCCTCGCTCCTCCCCATCCTGACTCGCCGCTGCGGATGGCAATACAGTCAAGACGTCTATTATTAAGGACGGGTGGTAAGGATGCAAGACCCTTGGAGGCCGAAGCTGGGATTTTTGGGGCGGCGGGTGACCGGTGAAGACGGCAAAGGACGGGCCGCGGAGGCAAGGACACGAGGGCACGCTGGATGGAGGCGCGCGTCCTTACTGGGCGCGTTGACTGTAAAGGGGGGGGCGAAGTCCTCGCTGTCGGGCACTCCGTCCCCGTCGGCGTCGCCGGGCTTGACGCACTCGGAGGAGCAGGGCCAATCGGCGCAGGGCACCGCCGGGCAGCGTGGGTCGTAGGGAGCGGGGTCCTCGACATCAGGTATGCCGTCTCCGTCGCTGTCCTGTAGGAGGGCACTTGATGGAATCGCGCGGCTGGTCATGGCAGAGAAGCAGGGAGGAGGGGCCTCGAAGGAAACATGGAAACAGCAACGCCAGCAACACGGCAATCAACAATTCAAGCAGCAGAGTGTGTGCGTGTGCGTTCGTAGCAAGATTTGCAAGGCCACTCATGCCACTCATGGTTACATTCGAGTCGGTGGATACGCTCGAAATCAAACTTTCGCAGGAATCCGACGCCTTGCCTTCGTCCTGGGGCGTTTTAGAACTGCTTGGTAGATGCGTGGTGAGATGGAACTAGTCGTGTCATGAGACTGCTCCCCTTCGCAACGCCTCCGAGGCGCCTTCGGCGCTGCGAGCCGCTCCCTCCGGGCGAGACGGTCAGGACCTTTGGCATGGCGCGTCGGGGCGGCGGCCCGGGCAGCACGCCGCTGGGCCCTGCGAGCGGATAGCTCGTCGCTCCGCTCCGCGGGACGGGAGGCTCGCAAAGCCTAGGGACGTGGACGCCTGGAGACTGGGGACATGGACAGCGCGTCGCCGAGGCGCGGTGGGCCAGAACCGTATACTTGTCTACTCGTGCTGTATACGTACACATATACTGCTATGTAGACGAGTTGCTCGTGCGTGCCCAAACAAGAACAGGTGCGGGGCCCACCCAGGAGGGCCAGGCGGCCCCATGGCGGCTTCTTGGAGCGTGGGAGCCCAACTGCTTCGGAGGCGTGTCGGCGGCGAGCCCCAAGGGGGAAGTGAGAGGGGCAGGCCCTCTCAGAAGGCGGCGGGGCTTCTCGGAAGACCTCGCGCCTTCTGAGACATGTTATGTGTCTTCGGGGAAGGCTTCGGACACTTCTCACAAGGCCCGAGGCCCTCCGAGCCTTCCGACAAGGCCCGCCCCTCTGCATCCTTCCCTGGGCTCACCGTCGACAAACGTGCAGCAGGGACGGACGAAACGTGCAAGGCAAACGGCCAGAAAAACAAGCGACGGTGACAGAGAAAGCGAGGGAGAGAGAGAGAGAGAGAGAGAGAGAGAGAGAGAGCGAGAGAGCGAGAGAACAAGACACGGCAGCAAGGAACCCAGACGCTCGAAAACACAAACGCACTCGGACGGCTGATTGCCGCTGGCGTCTCTGGCGCGCGAGATGTGTCGGCTACTGGGAAGAAACCTGGTGACGGCGGAAATGTGCGTTTGCAGATGTCTGGGGATCATACAGTCGGGCCGCTGACAGAAGGAACGCTAAATAAAGAACGGCGCCCCTTCTTGGCCCTGTAAGCGCCTCCGTGCCCCAGGAGGGCAAGAGGAACAGCACTGGAGGAACCTAAGGAACATCGAGCCCTTTCCGAACACAAACTGTTCCTTATTTCAGCGTCTTGACTGTGGATGTGTCTTCTGGCAACTATCCATCATCGGCACGCAGAAACACATCCTTGGAAACACGGGTCCTGGACTCGCGGGCTTCCCCCAAAAAACCATCCGTTCATGCATGAACGCTTTCAGTTGTTCTGCTGTGGCAACCCAGGATCCTGAGGCAAAACCATCGAAAACCCCAAACGACTAACCTGAGGACCTGTCTGTCCTTCCATGCAAACAAGCCTTGGGCTCACCCTATCCTTCATAGTGATAAACCCAGATGGTTTACAATCTTCGGGAGCTGCCCTCAGAAAGTGGGTGGTGTGGGGGGGGGATCCTTTAGGTAGGCACAACGACGAGGTGATGCCATCCATCGGGGCAGGGAGCTGTCCGAGGCTGGTGACGGGCTCCTTTTCACGAGGGGCATGGCGACCCCAACACCCAGAATTTCTGGGAGATTTCGACTGAACGCCACTTGTGGCCCAACCTGGGAATCTACGATTAGGTCGGGCATGTCCCCCTACATGCAGGCTTTGGAGGACAGATTAAAGATACCAAACCATGTTCAAAACATACTCAAAAGATGCTCAAACATGGTCCCTAGGCTATTGTTTGACTATGCAGTCCCGAGCTCCCCCCCTCCTTGTCTGAACGGCAAACTTTTGTGGGAGGGTGGACCTCGTGGGCTTGGGGGAGGGAGTCGCCTGCGAGTGAGGGGCTCCTTTCCTCATTGGAGGGGGCAGGAGATGACCATTACCAATACTGAACGCGAACACGTCGGTGTCGATCCTGGTCATCACCCATCCTTGTCGTGGTCAATTCGCGGACCGCCCTCGCGACTCGGCGCCGCCCAGCATGGAGCATGACAACGATCGGCATCGACGAGATCCCGCGACACACTGGTCATGGCCGTCGTGCTCTCTTTCCCTCGACGCACGGCGACGCGAGGAGCACCCGCCACGAGTCTGTCTGGTCCTTGAAGCCGCTGGCCAGGGGCCGCGCTTGCCTGGATCGGGAGCGGCCAAGAGGGGGGTGTCCAAGAGGGGGGGTGCAAATCATGACTGGCGGCATGTGCGCGGCCCAGCGGGGGGGCCAGGGACGGAACGAAACACGAAGAGGCGCCATCAAATCTGCGGAAATATCATGGCCCCCGCCATGATATCCACCCCCCCCTAGTCATCACCCCCCTCTTTTCCGCCCCCGACTGGACGGGGAGGGGGGAGGGGGCCGGGGAATCGCGGGCACGCACGCGCGCGCGCGAACCGCGGCACCCTTGCTCGGGTTGCCCCTCGGCCTCCTGCCGGGATCGGCGCGGGGGCTGCCAGGGGGGGTATCGGGGGGGTCATCACCAGGTCGGGCATGTCCTCCTACAGGCGGGTTTGGGAGGACAGACAGAACACAGGCAAACCATACTCCCCCAAATAATCAAACATGGCCAGAAGTCGTCCCCATGATACTTGTTTAACTATTTGGGGCTATTCCTCCTGTAGAAGGACATGCCCGACTTAAGGCAAACACTGCATGCCAAGGTGGGATACGTCTGGCCTCACCTAGCTTATCAGTTGGCTAGAAGTGACCCAAGTGGCATGGAGGGGTTAACGATCCAGGCTAAGTGGACTCCGCCCACTTAGGAGTTATATTACCCACTGAGGCGCCTTATGGCCTTAGGCTTTTGTGCTCATTGATAAACTGGGTTAGGCCAGAGTTTACCCACCTTGTCATCCACTGCTAGCCCCCTTTTATCCCCTTGGCAAGCCCCGCGCCGATCCCAATACATGGTACTGCCTCGCTCCACAAACCACCTTTTCCTCGTCAACTTCCCTTCCTCCCCTGTCCTCCTCCTCATCCTTCTTGCTCGCAGCTCCTGGCTCCTGGCTCCACTTCCTCCTCCTCCTCCTCCTCCTCCGCGGACTCGTCCTCCTCGCTCCTCCATACTCCCTCCAGCTCCTCCTCCTCCTCCTCATCCTGCCCCTTTTGCTCCTCTTTTCGTTCGGGAACCGACACTGTCGCCATACCCGTAACTCCGCGAATCCTCCTCCTCCTCCTCCTCCACCGTAACTCTTGTCCTCCGCCCCCCTCGTTATCCTTCCTCCTCCTCCCTTGGCCACCCGATTACTCAACCGATTTCCTCCTCCTCCTCTCCCCCGAAGAGACAAAAATACCACTACCTTCAGCTAAAGGGGGGTGGCCGCTCCCTCCCCTCGAGATGGTGGCACCTCCTTCCGGGAACTCCCTGGAGGCATGCCCAGAACGAGGTGCCACCAGCTCGAGAGGGTGGCACAGCCCCCCGCCCCCTAGCTGGTGGTAATGGTACCTTTGTCTCTGGTGATCTCCTCCTTCTGCTCGGCCGATTCCCGGCCACCCAGGAGGCGGCAGAGAAGGTCTGGCAATCGCTCGGACGTCCATTTCTTATGTTTTTTTGTCGGTTTCGTGCGTGGCCTTTTCGCCAAATGATCAAGGATGCTCCTCGATGGTCCTCGCCGAAGGAAAAATGCACACGTCCGAGCGATGCCAAGAGGTGGCGGCGCGCGACCCGGGCGCGCTCGGCGCGGCGGCGCTCGCGGCCGCGGCGGTGCGCCTCCTCCGCCCCCGCCTCCGCCTCCGCCTCATCCTCCTCCTCCTCCTCATCCTCCTCTTCCTCCTCCTCCTCCTCCTCCGTAACCCTGCTCCTCCGCCCATCTCCTTCTCCCTCCTCCTCCTCCTCCTCCTCCTCCTGCTCCTCCTGTTCCTTCTCCTCCTCCTCCTCCTGCTCCTCCTGCTCCTCCTCTTCCTCCTCCTCCTCCTCCTCCTCCTCCTCCTCCTGCTCCTCCTGCTCCCCTGCTCCTCCTCTTCCTCCTCTCCTCCTCCTCCTCCTCCTCCTCCTCCTCCTCCTCCTCCTCCTCCTCCTCCTCCTCCTCCTCCTCCTCCTCCCCCCCCAGTCCTCCTGCAGCCCGGCGCGTTCCGCGCAAGAGCCAAGGTCTCGCACCCTCCCGCTGTGGCCGGTGGCCCCCGCCCTTGCGCTGCGCGCTCTGAGCTGACGGGCTTCCGAGCGCGCGTCGGGTGACGCGCGTGCGCGCCCCGGATCAATACATCGGATGGGGAGGAGGAGGAGGAGGAGGAGGTGGAGAAGGATTTTTTTTTTTGGACTCAACGCCCTGCGCCTCCAAAGCCTGACTGAAAGGCAAGATACACTGACAACGGAGGGTGGTATCAGTGCATGTGGAAAATTATCAGTCGGAGTCGTCACCGGGAGGTCTCTGACCGACAGCTGGAAACAAAGGCTGGGTATCCTCCTCCTCGCGAAGCTGACCCACGACAGACGATAGCTGCTGAGCTACAGAGCGGGCAGCAGACTGACTCTGGGGAGGGGGCAACGGAGGAGAGGTAGGGGCAGGAGCAATAGAGTTAAAGCACTGCATGAGGTTGCCGGTGTTCACTCTAACCCCTCGCTTACTGTAATGAGGGTGCAAGCCTTTGTTACATAGGGTATTCCATCCCGTCCTAGTGGCTTTAGTTGGGTGCCCAACACAATTTTCAGCTAAGCCACGGACGTTGGAGCTACTCGAGATCCAATAGCACCTCACGCAAATGAAGAGCACACTCTGATCCTCGCAATCAAACGCAATGACGCGGTGGCCTAGCGAGTCCAACCTAGAAGCGTGGAGCTTACTGGTACCAGGACAGACGCCAGGAGGAGGAACAGAGGAGGTCCGGCGACCTCTAAGACAAACTTCACAACGCCAAGCTCCTGACCAGGGCCTCCAGCGGTGAGAGGGGGCAGCCTGGGCAGGAGGGGCTTTCACGAGCTCAGCATCAGAGAGGTCCAAAGGGTCCCACAAGTGGAGAATCCGAGCCGCCAACCGAATGGTGCAGCGAGCAGCCCGAACCAGACGATCGATCTTGGTTAGGGACTCTTCATTACTTGGGTGCATTCTGGCAGCATGCTTGGCACCAGCATCTGCATGAGCGTTTCCCACCCGCCTCCACCGCTCCCCGCTATCGATACCGACCTCGTCGGTATCTTTATGAGCGCAACTTTCTCACACGGAAGAAGAGAGGAAGAGGAAGAGTAGCACTGAAGAAACGCGCCTGAATACATACGCTTCCCCGAGAGCTGTTCAGCTCGAGGAAGCTCGGCCATTTTAACAACATTAGCACAATCCGAGAAAGCAGTAGAATGCCCAGGGACAGAAAGAACGTGGGCCCAAGTGTAGGCCGAAAATTCAGCACTTTGGGGCGTTTGCGGATAGCAGGACCAAACAGGGGCCCTGAATTCGGCCACAAGTAAACCATTGTCACTGACCAACGCAATACAAGAGCCGGCTCTACTCAGCTCGCGAACCGGATGTCTCAAGCAAGAGCCATCTACAAATAATGAGCCCCAGAGAGCCATGTCAGAGGGAACTCCGACAGGCGATGCCTGATCCTGTTCGTGCCACACCAGAAGAGGACCATCATCTGACTCCTTGCTGGGACGAAAATAAGAATCAGCTGGGTGAGCGAAAGCCCCAGTGGAGTACACGAACAAGTCGGACCCAGCTTCTTCAGCCTCGAGAGCCAGCTTTATGTCAGAAGCCTCCACCTCAGCGTCCCTGATCGCAACAGCATCGGGGCAAGAGCAAGACCAGATCCTATGAAAGATGGTGTCGGGTTTTCCGCAATGAGGGCATGCAACATCGATCTGGTAGCCAAGACTGAACGCGCGCTCCCTCGTAGGGAAAGCCTCGGTTGCAAAGGCACGGATCCTACTCTTCTCAAGAGCCGAGAAGTTCTTGCTCGACAACGCTTCTCTCGCGATGTCGTAACATATGCGATGCATGACCCCCCGTTTTGCGGCCGAATCCCGTTCAAGCATGCGCAAGTACCCCTCTTTGCACAACTTTTTAATGAGGGGCGGGGAGAAAATACCCAAAGGGATCGAAGTCCCGAGATCGTCACGAATCGTCATAAAATCTAACATCACCCATCCGAGACGAGACAGAGACATTCTGAGAGCCGAAACGGGACCTGAGACAGCTCGCCACGAGCAGGAATCTTTGCCAAAAACTGATGACCAGGCTTTCCTAAGCTCTGGCAACTTGAGAGACCACTCGAAAGCAGACGTTTGTACCAACCATATCTCCTTCGACCATCTGACAATGGGAGAGCGAGCGAGGCGCCAGCGTGGATCACTGTCGAGAATAGCCGAAGTAGTAAGCGAACGAAGCTTAGAAGTGGGACGAACAGTGCTGAACAGTTTGCGACGAAGGAGGAGGAGGTCATGATCCGACGTACCGGTGACTTCACTCCCATAACTGGCGCCGGCAAGGGGGCCAGCAGAAAAAACCTTGATGACGGTGCTGCGCTTGAGCACCTTATTCTGTCGTCGCAGTCTGGTCGCCTTGCGGCTGGCAGCAGCAATCCGAGCTTTAGCCTTAGCGCTGCGACCTTGCACTCTGAGCGCGCGGCCAGCGGTGTAGTCAACGCCTAGGTTCACAGCTGACGCTGAAGGAGCACCGCAAAGGTCAGAAAGCTGCGCACAAACTTGCTCACCAACATGCTTCGACGATGCGACAACACACGTTTTGTCCATGGCAAAGCTGCATCCTAGCACATCTTCCACAATCCCGTGGAGCTCGCGAGCCCCCGAGACGATACTGGCGATGACCTTCTTGGGGGGACCGCTGCACGAGAGGCCTTGATCGTCAATATAGACGTCCAGGTCCAGGGAGGGCTGAGGGGTGAGACGGTCATAGCCTTCCATCCCGTGCACGCGGATAAAGGTCGTGGCCATTGAGCAGCCTGCAATAACGCCTCGCAACACAAAAAAAGGGACCCTCGACCCAGCCACCGAGGCAGAGGAACCTACCACAGCGGTAAGCGAACAGGGACAGGCGAGCCAAAGCAGGAGGAAAACCATACCTGTGACAACGAGCTTCCAACTCACGAAGGCATATGTTCTCGTAGAACTTGCGCAAATCGAAAAGAATCGAACAAGAACTCTGACCCGAAGCGACACCGACTTCAGACCTAACAGCCTGCCGCCAGACGACATCGGCTGCTCCTCGATGCTGTCCGGCAGCCCAGTACCTCCTGGGGTGTTGCTGTTCCCAGTGCAGGGCAAGGGGTCGTCTAAGACGGCCCCAGACCCTGTACCAGGAACAGAACGCCCCAATCGGCCTGTAGCCACCAGACGGCTTCGTGAGCAACGCGATGAGCGAGACCGAAATCTGGGGAGGCAGGCGTCCAAGAGACTCCATCAGAGCAAGCACCATACTGAAACAATCCAGCGCTGAGTCTCCGAGGAGCGAAAAGTGGCGACAGTGGAAGCCATCAAGAGAAACGGCCGACTCCTTCCTATATTTCTTGGCGACCGACCTGATCTGGTCAGCAGATAAACGAGGAAGGGCGTCCAAAATGACTCCAGACGGCTTGGCCCCCTCACCGCACCCCCACAAGGGCGAGAACCGATTACCTTCGGCCTTCAGCAGCGACAATGGGTCGGAGACCGTGCAACCTTTGGCGCTGAGAGTAGCCGTGGGGGTCCAAGGGGTGGGGTCACGAATGATCTGGTGAACTCGTCTAGAGCCAACTTCTATGCCCACATGAAGCCAAGCAGACCAGTCAGACCGGGACTGCTTGGCGAAAAACTTGCTGGCGTTGCTGAGCTCATCGCGCACCTCAGTCTCAAAGTTAGCTAGATCATCAACCGACTGAGAGCTGGAGCCAGCAATCCGCGAGGCACGAGCAAAAAGCGCGTCTCGTGCACCGGTGTGGTTGGCAATGTGCGGCGGCGGCTCGACCAGAAGCTTGCCCAGCCTCGACGCCTGGCGATCGTCGCCAGAACGCCTAGAGAGCACAAAAGCTCGCCACTGAGCCGCCAGCCACTTGATAGACCTGAGTTCAGGATACTTCGCGCGGCCTTCGGCCGAAAAGATCGAGCGCCAGGCCAACTGAGGCCCCAGCCCACGGGTCCCGAACTTGGGAATCTCGGCACCCAAGATGGGCACCAGGTCCTTTTCAGCGCGGTCCGCCCAAGCCTGGTAAAGAGGGCCCAGGAGCGCCAAGGCCCCGTCGAAGTCCCCCCGGCCCACCCGACCCAAAGCTTTCTCAGCCAAGTCCAGCTCGCGACTCCACGAGGACTCCTGAGCCATGGGACCGATGACGGGTTCCACAGGGAGGGGCGGGGGCTTGCGGAAGGTGAGGGCACGTAAGATACTCAGCCGAGGGAAAAAGGTGATGCACACAGGACGGTGAGGGGAGAGGGAAGTGGAGAGATCAACCTCACATGAGCGAATGCCCTTGGCCACACCTCCAGAACAAACGAAGTAATCGAAGGTAGAAGCTTTGCCAGAGGGAAAATGCGTACACATGGGAGGCACAACAATGCTGCCACGCAGCTCAGCAACGAAGCCAGAGTCTTCGAGGATCGGTGGATCGAAGTTGTGGTCAGCTCCACACACAAAAGGGTACTCACACTGAGACAAAAAACTGCCAAGCAGAGACAGGATGTGAGAATTGCGGTCAGACAAGCCTTCAGAGTGGTAGAGATAAGACGAGACAACAATGAAAGGGGGGCACCCAGGAAGATGGATGGATCCAGCAAGGCACCGCCCCGAAACAATGCTCCCTTCATCAACATCCTTAAGACCAAGCCAGGAGCGATCGAAGATAGCCACACCTGCAGACGTGTCCCCTGCCTCAGTTGGCTGAGCCTCCGACCACAGGGATTTCCATCCACGCTTGAGGCACCACGAACTGGCTGCAGCAATATCACTACCTCTCAAGCGATGTTCCTGGCACAAGATGACATGAGCATGAGAATACCCTTGCAAGAGATCCTGCATAGTCCCCCAGGAATTGCAGTTGATGGTCCTAATGTTAAGCTCAACTCGGTTAGGATCAGGCGCCTGGCTGGCAGTGCAAACATCACTCGAGACGGGATGCTCAACGCCAGGCGCGACCGTGGAATGACCATCCAGGTCATCCCGATCGTCGTTCTGAGACCTAGTATTCCGAAAAGGTCGAGCAAACAGTGAGGACGACGGGCTATGGGCTCCGCTGAGGGCGTCGAACCTGGAGACAGGATCAGCCAGCGGCAACTCAAAACACGAGACAGAATGAAGGCCGGAGCTGCCGACCTTATCTGCAAGAGTGAGCACGGGATACAGCTGAGACGGCCGAGAGAAATCGAAAGGTGCGCTGCTCACCAGCCGGCTGTGCCTGCCGAGTTCAGGTCCCACGCCACTCAAAGAAGGAGGGAAGAGGACAGCATCGGCACGAGCAAGGAGCGACGACCACCTCAGACACTCCGACTGCGCTGAGACCTGAGCCCCTCGGCATCGTAAAAACTTCGGCAAGCCTCGGCGACTCCAAAGTTGGACTTGGGCCGCAGACGGAGGCTCCGAAAAAATAGAATTGCACACAAATGTTTGGCACCCCCCCTGGAGGGGTTTCCAGAAAAGGACCTCCAAAGGAAAGACCCAGCTGGGCCTATCAGGCGGTACCGGCTGGACCTCCAGGGGGGGGTGGTTGGCCTTTCGCGATAGCATCTGCCCGCTCACGGATGCTGCAGCCGGCCTCAGCAGATGGGGTTTCAGCACCTGGAGCTGCTCCAGAACCTGCCGCAGGGGCTTCCCCAACCACTGGAGCTGGCGCCGCTGCAGAAGGAGCCGTTGCACCCGTTGACGCCGCAGCAGTCGGAGGGGCCTCGCCACGCCGCCGCTTCGCCGCCAGGCGCTTGATGTGAGCATCGTGTTCCGCACGAAGAGCGTCCACCTTGGTCTTCGAATCCTTGAAAAGGCTCGCCGCCAAGGTCTGGATGCCCTCTCGGAGCTGGGCTGCACGGGACTCCAGCTCCTGGGTGTCTTCGGGCGTGAGCTCGTACTCCAACTCGTCGATCCTGAAGACACCATTGGCCGAGAGGTCCAGCATCTTGGACAATCTTTCAGCATCAAGAATGTCATCGATCGAGAGAGCAGGCTTGTCCACGGGCACCTCCTTGGCAGGAAGCTGGGAGTGAAGCTGGCGGACGAGCTCACCATGTTCCGCTTCAGATTCCGCCAGCTCGGACCTGAGGGAAGAGACGTGTGCTCGCTGCGCTTCCAACTGCTGAGCCATGTTTTCGAACTTGAGCACCGCCGCGTCGAGCTTCTTTTCAGAGGCCCGAGCCTTGGCGTGCGCCTTCTGGAGCTTGACCTGAAGACTGTCTCCCTGAGGAGCGGGCGCCGCGAGAGCCTGAGCCGCCGTGCGGTACTGCTTGGCTGCCATCGCATCGCCCATCTTCTCGCACAGGTTAGCCATCTGGGTGTACTCCTCAGCCGAAAGCTTGAGCGAGGCGACGTCGACGGCTGCGTGTCCGCTTTTGCCGGAGGACGGTGGCTTGCTGAACTGACCAGGAGGAAGCGAGACACAACCACCTTGGGCAGCTCCTCCGCCGCCGACACCTCCTGCGAGTGAATGAGATCCTGCTGCATCGTGCCATACACTGCCGGGCGCTCGTGGGCGAGAGGCTCCACAGTGCTTGCACCACGTAAACCAGCCCGCATTCCGACGACATCCGCAGCTCGGGCACTGCCAGCGCTGAGCACCAGCACCAGCAGCAGGAGGAGGTTGAAGACCAGGTAGAAGTGGAGGCCACGCCTGGCGTTGACCTTTACCGCCATCTCCCTGGACCCACGGCGCGTAGTAGAAGCCAAGGCCTTTCCCGCCTGCACCAGGCATCGGGCCGCCTCCATGGCCTCCCTGCGCCATGCGAGTATCGTGAAAGTGGAAGACCGAGCCACTTGGCCCGCAACAGCAATATGCCGTTCTGAAGTCTGCTGTTGCAAGCGCAGGCAATCGCCTGAGCCAGAACGGCTGGAGGGAGGAGGAGGAGGAGGAGGAGGAGGAGGAGGAGGAGGAGGAGGAGGAGGAGGAGGAGGAGGAGGGGAGGAGAGAGGAGGAGGAGGAGGAGGAGGAGGAGGAGGAAGGAGGAGGAGGAGGAGGGAGGAGAGGGGAGGGGGAGGAGGAGGAGGAGGAGGAGGAGGAGTAGGAGGAGGAGAGGGAGAAGGATGAGGAGGAGGAGCGACGAGGAGGAGGAAGAGAATCGGAATGCGCGTCGAATCGGGCTGCATCGGCGAAAAATCGCCAGAGCGGATCTGACCCGGCCGCGCAAAGGGGTGCACGACCAAGCCACGCTGGCACGTGGCCACGCCGGACCGTCGGGATACCAGAACCGAATCGGTCCGAGCCAGCCGGAGCCGACATCGAACCAGATCGATCGGCTCGTTTGGACCCTGCAGTCCACGTGCGCGCGCGAATACGTGCTCGTTGTCACACATGCAGTATGGCGACCCCAATCGACGACTGCTTGGAGTTTTCACGCTTGGGCCAAAAACGTCAGAGCATCCGATGCCTTGGATCTGCGTTCGGCCACGAAATGAGCCACGAAATGCTTTGGGCGCCCCTGGGAATTATGTGTGACGTGTCAGCTGCGGCGCAGCGACAGGAACTCCCAGGGCAGTCCGCGGCGGCGCCCCATGCGCAGGCGATCGGGCTCGCTGGCGGCAGCCGACAAGCACAGGCCGCTGAGAAAACGACGCAGGGGCTCGGACTTGGCAGCGCAATCTGTATTGCCTGCAGGAAGTTGCCCACGCGAAAATTGCGCGTACGAAGCAGCCACAGAGCTGCCGCACATAATGGCCGCACGGAAAAGCACCCGAACTGATTCCCCAGACTCGTTTGCGAGCGCCCGTCCCCGCCTGAGAGCGCCCTCCAAACCAGAAACCGCTTGAGACAGTCCCACAACAATTTCGTGGGAACAAAATCGTGCGCCATTTCGTGCCGCATCTCCTGCCGGAGTTCGTGCAACAGCTTGTATGCCATGCCGTATTCGTGCCGTAATCATGTCGTGTTCGCGCGAAACTTCTTTCGCGCTCGTGCGGGGAAAACTCGCGCACTGCGCGGCACCAGTGTCGTGTTCGCGCGGCCGCGCTTTCTTGATCGTGGAAGAATGGAACACGACGGCCAGCTACTGACTTGGGGCTCAATGGAAACCAACGTGCGGCAAACAGCCCCCTTCGCGCTCGCCAGCGCCCGCCCGCAATGTAGGACCCAACTCGGGGACGTGCGGTAGGAAGCGTCTATCCCCAATGGGGGGCGCTTCCGAACAGCCCCCACTAGGCGTATCCCAGAATGTCCAATCCTTTCTGAACGGCCTGACCCAGGAAGGGACAGAAATCTCCTTAGCGAAACACCCGTCAATGCAACCGAGCAAAAACATGACCCAGAGGGCGCAGGCTCGAACACAAATGCCGTTGTAGCACTTTGTCTGGAGAGCCAAACATCTATGTAAACATGCACTGCTGGACGCCCGCGAGGATCATTTGGATTTGCGCTGGGCAATTTGCGCTGGACCCCCCCCTCCCCCCCGGCTCGCGGGGCGCGCCAGGGGCGGCGCCCGGAGGGCCGCCAGAGGGGCCCCAGCGCTGGTCAGCGAACATCCGTGCGGAGCTCCGAAAGTTCGTGCGTTGCGCCATGTTTGTCTGCTCCGGCTCTCGAGCGCCGAGGCAGGGCAATGCGCGAATCGACCTCGCAGGGCGGGGGGCTCTCTCTCGACCCTCGCCCAGCTCTTCCGAGGGGGTACAGTCGGGCCGCCGAGGGACGGAACGCTGCACGAGGAACGAAGCCCCCTCCGTGCCCCAGGAGGGCAAGAGGAACAACACTGGAGGAACCTTAGTCAAGGGGACGTAAGACCTGGGCACAGGGGACTCGGAACTCCCCGACGAGGTCGTCAAACAAAAATGACGAGGCCGAGCCTGCATTCTGACGAGGCCTCCCGCTGCAGGCATCCCACGACACTCCTCCTCGTCAGAATCCGAAGCGCGGTCGTCAAGAAAACGGTGGCGAGACCCGAGTCCTGGCAAACCCGGGTCTTACGCTCCCCCGACTTAGGAACATCGAGCCCCTTCCGAGCCCAAACTGTGCCTTAGCTCGGCGTCTCGACTGCAGCTCCGGGGGGGGCGGCGGGCGAGCAGCCGCCGCGCGGACGCCTCCGCAACGGTCGGGGCCGCGAGGCCGCGAGAGGAGGGCCCCCTCCCTGGAGTTCGGTCGGGCGTATCCCCGTACAGGCGGATCTTGGAGGAAAAATAGAAAAATACCCCAGAAGACCCCAACATAGTCAAGAAATAAGGATAATCATCGTCCCCAGACTTTTGACTATCTTGAATCTTCCTCCTCTGGAGGCCGGTCCAGGTTTCCTGGCGTCGGCCTGGCAGACGTGCCGCAGCGGATTTCTGCGTGGATGTTTGCCCGAGGCGGCGAGCGAAAAGCGAAGTGAATCACGCAAAGCAAAACAACAAAATCCGCACGAAGATCCCCTCGAAATGCGGAACGCGATTCTCCAGGACACTCCGGGCCCATCCGATCGTTTCCCGAGCGGAATCTGCTCTGCAATGTTGGCGCCACGACAGGTTCCTTCGGCCCCGCCGAGGAGCCCGTGCGCCGGCGGAAGAAGAAGGACCCTCCGACTGTGGAGACCCTCCTGAGGAAGAGCCAGGAGGAGTTGTGGAGGAGGGGGAGGAGGAGGAGGAGGAGGAGGAGGAGGAGGGGGAGGAGGAGGAGGAGGAAGAGGAGGAGGAGGAGGAGAAGGAGGAGGAGGAGGAGGGAGGAGGAGGAGGGAGGAGGAGGAGGGGGAGGAGGAGGAGGAAGACCTTCGTCACGGAAGCTCGTTCGTTCGCAGGCCAGGTCGCACGACGCATCGGCTCCGCGGGGGTAGTGATGTGCCAGCGGCGCAGCAAGCAGCAATCTGACGTCAGGGACTCCGATCAACCACCTACGCGGCCAGTGAAAGCCAGATGGTTTACCAACTGCTTTCCGAATTGGCTGTCCACGCACGGGAGGGGGTTCGAAAAACCTCCCCTGTGGCGGGAAGGGGGCGGTGCGGCAGCATACTGCAGCACAAGCTGTCCCCTCTACAAGAACCCTTCCCTCACAGAGCAAAGGGGGGAGAGGTCACTGTTCTTAGGTCGGGCGTGTCCCCCTACAGGGGGGTTCGGACGAAAAGTACAAAATAGTCTAAGAATAATCCAACACATGCACGGAAATAGTCAGAACATCGTCCCCTGACTTTTTTCTCACTTTTTAACATATTCCTCCTGGAGAGGGACACGCCCGACTTAACACTATTCCGACGCAGGAGTCCCCCCCAGAACATCCCCCCAGAATCCCCTTCCGCCCCGTGCTCGACGACGACGAGGGGGCAGCGCCTGCCAGGATCGCTGGCGTAGCGGTCCTCGCCGCTGTCGTGCCCGCCGCCGTCCGCGTCGGCGTCCTGGCATGCTGCTGCGCCCCCTCCCTCTCCCCCTCCCTGCCTCCCCCCTTGCCCATCCCCCTTCTAGCTCCTCCCCGCCCCTGATCGCTCTTCTCCTCCCCCTCCTCCACCTCGTATAGCTCCACCCCCTGATCGCTCTCCTCCTCCTCCACCTCGTATAGCTCCCCCTCCTCCTTCCCCCTCCTCCTCCTCCTCCTCCTCCTCCTCCTCCTCCTCCTCCTCCCTCTCCTGTCCCCCTTCTCCTCCTTCTGCATCTGATGATCCCCCTGTTCCTGCTGCACCTCTCCCTCCTCCCTGTATCTCCTGCTCCTCTCCCTCCTCCCTGTATCTCCCTGCCCTCCCCGTTCGCCTGGTCCTCTTCCCTTTCTCTCTCCTGCTCCTCGGCCCCCTTCCCTGGAAGCCTCCCCGAGAGGGCCCTGGGGCGCGGGGTCGGAAGATCACGCCGCATCGCCGATGCATCGCCGACGACGGCGACACATCGGTGCCGTCGGAGAAGACTGAAGGGGCCCCAGGACACACAAATAAATACACACAAATGAAAAGATCCCCAATACTGCCCCATATTTCTTGGGTTTTTGTCTTCCCCCCCACTTCCCAGATGTCTGCATCTTTTCCTGGGAGTCGACGATTAATTGTGTCTGTGTGTTTCTTTCCCTCCAGAAAGACCATCGGGCTTTGCATCGAGTCGCGTATCTGATGCCTCGGCGGTGCGGTGTGCGATCCTCTGGCGCCATCTGCTCGGACTCCCTCTCGGGAGGCAGCCGGCGGGCTCGGGCGGGTGCTCGGCCCGGCCCGGGCGCGCCGGCACGAGCCAGGCCCGAGCGCGCCAGCTCAGCCTACAGGGAGTTAAACAAACAATGTTTTTTTTTTATAAAAAAAAACCAAGGAATTTAAAAGTCTAGGTTGTCGCGTAAATCGCAGCCCCGAAGCGGGGCAGATAACACAACTAAGAATGCTAAAAACAAAAACGAGGTCGGGCATGTCCTCCTACCGGCGGGTGTTGGACGAGAAGTGAAACTTACCCCGACATAGTCAAACATTGAAACAAAAAACAATCCTCCCCAGACTTAGTTGTTGACAATTTTTAAGATCCTCCTCCTGTAGAGGGGCGGGCCCGACGTAAGCCTTGGCTTGGTGCGCGCCCCAGCTTGGACAGGTGGCAACGGTGGGTGACCCAAATGGGGGGTGAAGAAAGGGGCCCCCCTTCAGGGCCTCTTCTGGGCCCCTGCCGGCTTCATCACAAAGGCTCCGGGTCTTTTCGTCACCACCACCCCATTACCACCCGCCCGATGCGGGACCTGGGCCCTCGCGGCGCCTTCTTCCAGGGCCGTCCTCTGTGGCAGCCTCGTGGCCCGTGGGGGGCCCCGAGATCCCCAAAACGGCGAAAACCTCAGGACCCGTTTCCCTCAGGAGCCCTTTCCCTATGGCGTTGGGCGCGAAGTAATATTGGGGGCGATAAATGATGGGTGGGGGGAGGAGCCTCTTTTCTGGCCCCAGAACTGCCCCCTCTGGGGCCAGTCGGGGCCCGAAAAGAGCCCCTTGCCTGCAGCCCTCGCTGCCGCCCAACTCATCGGCTCCAATTCGAGTCGGGGATCGACTATAGTTAAGCAGAAAGCATCTATACACCACCACCGTGCCAGGCCAGACCCGTCCTGGGCCCTAGGATAGTGTATACGCCCTCCTGGCCGAGCCAGGAGGGTCTATACACCATCCTACGGCCCAGGATGGCCCTGGTCTGGCACGGTGGTGGTGTATAGATGCCTACTGAAGAACGATTTGCCCCCGTGCAGGGTGTCAGCGGGAAGACAAGGAAACTGACGAACCAAAGGAGCTGTGAGAGCGAACCCGTTCCGGGACCAGCCGCCGCAAACGCGGCCGTTCGTTTTCCGCTTCGCCGGCGGGGATGTCTCCAGCACGGTCGCCGCCGCGATCTGTGGAGAGGTGTTCGGGGGACGCTGGCGTGAACGACGTCGTTACTGATGTCCCGCGCTTGAAAAGCATCGACAAACTTGTATAGGGTTCTCAGAGCCGAAAGCAGGCGCATCGAGGACGTTACTGTCTTGCGCGAGAAGTGATCCCAGTGAAAATTGTGGGGGTACCACGTGTATCCAACACAGCACGTGTGTGTATACTGTATACTTATATCGCAGACTGTACCATCGACCTGCACAGAGCGGAACCTTCTTCCCGACGGAGTGTGTTGGAAGTCCAGCACTCGACCCCATCTCTCGCCTCGCCCGCCTCGCTCGCCTTGCCCGCATGGGTCAAGCAGATCCCAGGAAAAGCCCTCCTCTTCCTCCTCCTCCTCCTCCTCCTCCTCCTCCTCCTCCTCTGCCGCCCACTCTGACTCCTCGCTATTCGGATCGCCCCCCATTTCCGCCCCCCATCTCCGCCTCCTCTCTCCGCCTCCTCTCTCCTCGTCCCCCGTGCTTCTCCCGCGGTGGAGCTCGGTGGCGATCAGAGGCTGGCTTCTCTCTGCTGGGCCACCATCAATTTAGGCAGTCGGGCATGTCCCCCTACAAGGGGAGTCGACGAAAAATAATAAACATCCCAAACATACACAAAAATACTGAGAAACAAAACCGTCCCCATACTATGTTTTTGCTATTTTCGAATATTCCCTACCTAGGCTCTGCCTAGAAGGGTTCTTACCCTCTTAGCTTAAAGGGACCAGGCAGTGGAACACGCCCCGGGCGGTTCCCCCAGTCCCCTGGGAGCGGTTCCCCCAGTCCCCTGGGAGCTTTAGCTTTACCTCGAGCTTTAGATTAGCTTTAGCTTTAGCTTAGCTTTAGATTAGCTTCAGCTTAGCTTTAGCTTAGCTTTAGACTAGCTTTAGCTTAGCTTTAGCTTAGCTTTAGCTTAGATTTAGCTTAGCTTTAGCTTAGTTTCAGCTTAGATTTAGCTTAGTTTTAGCGTAGCTTTAGCTTGGTTTTAGCTTAGCGTTATCTTAGCGTTAGCTTAGCTGTAGTTCAGATTTAGCTTATATCCAGCTTAGCTCTAGCTTAACTTTAGCTTAGCTTTAGCGTAGCTGTATCTTAACTTTAGCTTAGCTTTAGTTTAGCTATATTAGAGCCAGCTTAGCTATAGCTTAACTTTAGCTTAGCTTTAGCATAGCTTCAGCTTAGCTTCAGCTTAGCTTTAGCTTAGCTTTAGCTTAGCTTTGGCTTAGCTTTGGCTTATCTTTGGCTTAGCTTTATTGTTACTACGAATGCTGCTTTCCTAGGGGCTCCAACTCCTAGGTAAGGTCGCACTGGGATAATTCCTCCTGTAGAGGGACAGGCCCGACTTAGCCGTAATGGGCAAACCCCGACGGCATGCATTTTCGTAAGCCCGGCCTCCAGGAAGACGTCTACGATGCCGCCTCCCGGTGAAAGGGCGGGCTCGGTTCGCAGGTCCGGCCATACCCCCGAACAAAGAACTAATCCGTTCCAACGGTGGGGCAGAGAGCTCCGGAACGCCGCGCATGGAACGAGTCAGCAGGCACGCGCGCCAAGGGTCCAGGAAGCTGCCGCATCGGAGAGCGTCGAGGCGCAGACCCAACTGCCTGCCCCGGGGGCGCCCGAAGAGCCCCCCGTGGACGCGAGAAGAGCGGCAGGGGGCCCGGGTCACCCCGCTTCGCGCATCCCGCTGTGCGAAGCCCGATGGCTGCCCCTCCTGGCGGCGCGCACTAGGGGGTTGGCGCGAGAGGGGGGGAGGCTTTGAAGAAGCCCATGGGGCTGCTGAGAAGGCAGCGACCTCCTTAGAGGCGCCTGGAGGCTTCCCAGAAGGCCTCCTGGAAGCCCCAGGACCCCCTGCCTCCTCAGAAACCACCCACCTTCTTGGACGGCCTCCCTTCCCCCCTCGCTCGCGCCACCCTCTTGTTCGTGCTGCCAGGCCCTGAAGTACGAACGGAACGGCGCAGCGAAGAACAAAACTGCCACGCCGTGAACAAACCAGGGCCAACGCCCCCCGACCCCAGTCCTCCTGCGCCAATTGTCGAGCCAGATCGATCCGTGAGGGTCCTGGGGGGCTGCAGACTGGGCGAAGACGCCCGGCTCGAGCCAAAATTGTCGGCGCGCCACCCTTGCAGACGTGCTGCAGCGGATTTGTGCGTGGATTTCTTCTGTTTATTGCCAAACCCCGAAAAAGGCGAGCGAAAAACAACGTGAATTTCGCGTGGATTTTTGTTGGTCTTCATTCCTGGCCAACAACAAGCCGCACGAAACCCACCTCGAATTCCGGAGCGACGTTCTCCAGGACAGTCCTGGCCCACCCCATCGTTCTCTGAGCGAAATCCGCGCTGCGGTGTTGGCGCCATGAAAATTGGGATGCCGGGGTCTCAGGTAAAGAATCGCACTCTATACACCGACGCTTCTTCCGGCCCTGCATTGGAATTTGCACTGGAGAGCGGATCCTGGTGTATACGGGACCCTGGTGTATACATTTTTGTCGCTGCTTTCCCGGGACATGGGGGGAACAAAAAGTACACCACACCACCCCAGCGTCGTCCTCGACCCTCAAGAACCCTGCGATTGAAAAACAGTCCGCCGCTGGTAATGTATCTGTTCCAGTTTTCGATCAGGGGGTTAAGTCGGGCCTGTCCTCCTACAGAGGCATCCCTTGACGAAACAAACATGCCCCCCACATGGCAAAACAAATACTGAACAAAAACCGTCCCCATAACATGTTTTTATTATCATTGAACTATTTTTCCTGTAGATGGACAAGCCCGACCTAATCTTATTGAGCAGGGACCGACCATCCCAGTATTCCAATAGTCCTACCACGAAATGTTCTTAGAACTCAAACGTGTTCTCAGAACAAAAAAATCTTCTTAGAACATTACCCCCATGTGTTAAACCAGGACGGTCCACACCAGAAGTGTTCTAAGAACGTTTCGTGGAAACCACAGAAGGTTCTTAGAACATTGCTTGGTAGGGCTATAGGCGAGCCAGGACGCTTCGCCACTGCTTGATCTTAGGGGGCCTCCCCGCCCTCGCGCGACCTCTCCGGAGCTCAGA